TGAAGTAAAATCATGTTTTATATTGGTTTTTTCATGCACAGATAAGCGTCTATCTTATTTATTGTTAAACTAACAGAACCATTCAGTTTCAGAACTGTGTCCTCGTTGCACAAAGGCTATAAAGTGAACGTAATTTAGAGATCTTATTAAAAAAAGCTCGTCGTGCATATTTCTGCCGCAAGATACGAACTTTATACTTTGTTGATGTACACAAGTTTGTTTGAAGTGTGTGTCGGCAGTGATTATTAAGAGAGATGCAGTGGGTTTTCTGGATAGCGTAGCCCGTGAAGCGGACTTGAGCGCGGCAAGAGTTGGCCTCTACTTCGCAGAAGGAACGTCGGATTCCTGGGTTTGCCCTCGCAGGGAACACTTTACTCTGCAAGGAGGAATGGTCGCTGGTTTTGCACTGTGATTTTCTTTGAAACTGGAAATAAATGTTAAGGCCAACATGATGCAGAAAATTACCAAGGAACGCATATCAAAAATTGTGTAAATCAGCTGTGCCTAATGGCGGGCCTGAACACGCGCCAGGAGGAGATTTGTTTAAGCTGGAATATCCTGCAGTTGATAATCCTACACTGTAGGAGAAGTAGGCTTGAATCTTGATATCACTCCATCTGTCCTTGTTTTAAATTGATGTTAATGCAAGAATGTGAGTGCAATACGTGCGTTTGCTTTGTTTTACTCTAGCATTCTGATTATTAGAGCTCGTGTCTTCGGTTAGACCTCTTAATGATGTGAATTTTATTGAGTTGTTATGATAAATGGATAAGAGAAGAAGTTTTATATATTTAACTTGGGCCTGTTTGAAGTTATATTAATAACTGTTATGGTATGTCACAAACTTTTATGAATTTTTAACGGCACAGAATTTTATGTCAGTCCAAGGATCTCGTGTTTTTCTTCCACTACAAAAAACTACTACATCTTTGGAAATAAATGTCGCATTCTGCTCAGTGACACAGGTAACGAAGTTACGTAGAAGCGGCGCAGTTGATATAGTAAATCACAATAACCGACGGCACTCATAAAATATTATTAGTCAGGAGAGAATGTGTTTTTCTTCTACTGACATTGCTAATAATAATACACGAAGAAGACGCTAGCCTGCCATCACCATGTGTTTCGTAACACGAGAAGTGATGAGTCTTGCTAAGAGAGCTCTGTAGGATTAGGCCTATGCAGCCCCCCCGGATAGCTGCCCTCAGGTGCCTGGTGTTTCCGTGTTGCCGCAACAGTGGCGTTAGTGTGGCGGCTGAAACAGACGCCGGTATTATATCTCGGATCTTCGACACTGCTGACTTGGACTTTTCGTGGCTTTACTCAGCCTCCAATCAGATGCCGATATATTACCTCATAATTATGTCACTTCCGCAACATTCCATATCCTTTACAGTTCATTATTCATTAATATTATCATTAGACGTTATACAGTGAGATGCTGGCAGCGTCATTACATAAGCCACAAATAATTAATAAACAAAGCAATGTTTGTATTGCTTTAAATTCTTAAAGGGTCCTTTGTCCGAACTATTAATATCATTATTTAGTGTTCTGTCTGACGACAGGTCCATATGAACAGGATCCTTCCATCCTTTTCTCGGACTGGGACCTGTTCATATACGTTCTTGGCAGATGATCCAGAAGTGGTTTGCCATTGCCTTCTTCTGTGTGTGAATGGAGTAATTGTTGGGATGCCACGGAGAAACCGGGGAAGCCCCCGGAGGAAAACTCCGTGTTGCCTAGACCACGGCCTTGCCCAACACAAGTTATAAATTCGGGCACCGCCGGGAATCGAACCCGAGACCCCAGGATTACAAGGCCAGCGTTCTAACCGCTTATTATCTAATCGATTATTGTTTGGTATTGGTAGAGTACGCTAGAATTTGTCATGTGAATTTTATTGTGGTTCTTATTGGTACAATATACCTTTCAATTTACTTGAAACTCAAATCGTGG